CAGAACACGACGGAGTAAGTTGGCGGGTGTACGTTTTCGATCCAGAATTTCAGATCTCACCCCAAGTGTACCCGAGGGTACATCGGCAGTGCTAGAAGTTTGTACAGGCTCCGAGATACAAAATCCCTCAATCGCATCATGATGCCAGCCATAGATTTTTAATTCAGTAGTTGTATGCTCAAACATGTGTCACCTGTCATTTCATTTAGTGAATACATGTAGTATAACATAGTTATTAATGAGTCACTAAGCTCGTAAGCTCAACGTTTGGAATGTGTTTCTGTATGCAGGTTCTTAAGGGCAGTTTTTGGGGAGTTATCATCACTAAATATTCCAGTACAATAGACTAGATTCTTAGAGATCTTCAAAGTACGTCTTGAGTAATCTCTAGAGGCTATGTACTGTATATGGACCCTTGTGTATATTCAGTTGTAACTCTGATTTGTATTTGGTACTCTATTATTTTAAAATATGATTTGGGTGCTCCATATCGTTTTATAAACCCATATTATCTTATTTTATTTTGATTACTATGGATGGTTTATTTTTAATAATTATAACAATTTTAAAAGAAAATTTTCGGGTTATTATTTCAGTAGTATCGTGTAACATTGTAATCCATGGACCTTCGGGTGGAATTAGATTAGGGTGTTACATTTAGTAGTATCGTGTAACATTGTAACATTATAACATTTTAATCCATGGATCTGCGGGTTAGAGTCAGTCAATGTATGTATATATACATGCCTCTAGGGATTAAAGAGTACTATAACAAATAGAATGACGATAATGACCCTTTTCTCTTTTTAATTACAGATATAACTCATGGAAACGTTACATCCTATAGTCAGGAGGGCAGAGATAAGAGGCATGCGTTACTAGCAGCAAATTTTGGTGACGAGTTCATCCCAAATATAGTTCAGAGGCAGGAACCAATAGATGTTGGGGTCGAGGAGGTGACCTTTTTCATGGACTTCATCTCCTTACTTAGACAGATAACTAGGTCTCTCCCCAGTTCCTCAGTTGCCCCACCTCCCCTACTAGTACCTCTAGCTCAACCAGTGGCTATTCCTCATAAGTCTCTAGTAGATAGAGACTTCGTAGATATAAGACCATTGAGTTCTTTAGTTTAGAGGATAAGGACCCGATAGCGGTAATCCAATAGCTCAGAGAGATGTTCTATACTCTTAGACAGTTACATCTTACCCCAAAGGGTAACCTAGAGTACGTCACCTCCCTACTTGAGAGTGACACAAAATATTGCTTGGAGACTTTCGAGATGGTTATGGAGCCAGAAAGGCAAACTTGGGAGAAGTTCCTCACCGAGTTCAGAGAGAAGTACATTGGATAGATCCATATCAATACCTTGATGGAGAAATTCATGTATTTGACTCAAGGTGATGACTCAGTGTTGGAATACGAGCGAGAGTTTCTCTGACTTAGTAAATATATCGCAGAACTCATCCCAAACGAGGAACATCGCTATTATCGGTTCAGAGAAGGATTTCATGGTGACATTTTGACCCACCTTATGACTGATCCTCCCAGAATCTTCGCTCATCTGACTCGCCATGCAAAGGAAGTTTAGAGGGCTTTGAATAGGTAGTTTAGAGGGCTTTGGATTAGCAGGTTAGACAGTCTAGTGAGGTGACAAGACATATTAAGAGAGCCACTGAATCAGCGAGGCCTTCATAGACTGCGGCCAAGAGGGCCAATGACAGTCAGGGTTCTTCGAGGCCCCCAGTAACATAGTCCAATAAGATCATACAGAGTAAATGTAGGTCTGACTCAATAAGGAGACCATTGAATTTAGCGTCGAGGAGTGATGCTAGTAAGCCAAATAGGGGTTCACTTATACCACATGTTCTCGATGTGGGAAGATACACCTGGGCATATACCAGCTAGGATTTAGAGGTTGTTATATTTGTGGATCTATGTTTCATTTCGCCAAAGACTGCCCTAGAGCTCAAGGTGCAGTATCAGCGTTGACTCAACGATCGACACCATATAAAGAGGGGTTGAGGGCCAGCTATGGGAGGTAGCACTATGCCTGGACAATAGATCCATGGGACGGCTAAATTGATGGCTGATGCAAAACTGAGAGTGTCCTCTAGACAGTATGCAGTACGAGATTAAGAGTATGTTGATATGGAAGATGTCATATCAGGTACCTTTATAGTATTTTACTTACTAGTTACCGCATTGATAGACCCTGATTCTACCTACTCTTACATCTACTTAGACCTAATTAAAGAAATATAAATCCCAGTAGAGGATCTAGAGATATGTGTACGAGTTTCAAGCCCACTAGGTCTAGATGTCCTGGTGGATAAAACTTTTAGACGTTGGCTAGTGAGGATTCATGATCAGACTTTTCCAGCAGACTTGATGGAGTTACCATTCGGGGAGTTTGACTTGATCTTGGGGATGGATTAGTTAACCGAGCACAATGTCAGTTTGAAGTATAAAGCCAGGTGATTTAAGCTTAGATCAGTCGATGGAACCAAGTTGGTGATTACTAGTGAGACGGGGATATTATTAGTTCTAAAAGCCCAAAAGATGATCGACCATGGGTGTGAGGTCTTCTTGGCTCATGTGGTCAACATACAAATTTCAGCACCTACACTCAAGGATATTTGAATAGTGTGAGATTTTTTCGATGTGTTCCCAGAAGATTTCTCGGCTGGAAGTTCGACATTGAGTTCATGTCAGTTCATCTCTGGTATCCATTGCTCCCCATCACATGGTATCGGCTGAACTAAATGAGGTAACTGCTTAGATTCAAAAGTTGCTAGAGAAGGGCTTCATCAGACACATCGACTATATGCAGTTGAATAAGTTAACCATAAAAAATCGTTACCCACTCCCCATAATAGATGAAATCTTCTACCAATTTAGAGGAGCGTTTGTTTTTTCAAAGATACACTTATGATCAGGCTACTATCAGTTGAAAGTCAAGGATTAGTATGTGGAAAAGATCATTTTTAGAACAAGGTATGGTCACTATGAGTTCTTAGTGATGTCGTTCAGACTTACCAATGCCCTGGTAGAATTTATGGACCTAATGAACCTCATTTTCCACCCATACTTAGATCAATTTCTGGTGGTGTTTATAGATGACATCCTGGTGTACTCTAAATTAGAGGATGAGCATGATCAACATCTTCGTATTGTTCTTCAGACCCTTAGAGACAGATAATTGTATGCCAAATTTAGGAAGTATTAGTTTTGGTTATCAGATGTTTCATTCTTGGGCTACGTCATGTCAACAGAGTATTAGAGTCGAACCTCATAAAATTCATGTTATAGTTGAGTGAGAGCCACATAAGAATGTGTCAGATGCATTTTCATCAAGTTAGTTAGGTAATATCATTGGTTTGCTCAAGGCTTCTTGATGATAGCAGCCCTGTTGACTAAACTACTTTATAAAGGAGTTCCCTTCCTTTGAGATGAGAAGCATTGGGAGAGCTTCGAATAGTTGAAGGTCATCTTGACCCAAGCTCTAATATTGACCCAACCAAAGTCAGGTAAGGATTTCACAGTTTAAAGCGATGTTTCATTCAATGAAATTGGATGCGTTTTGATGCAGAAGGATAAAGTTGAAGCTTACAGGACTTGTCAGCTTAAGACTCATGAGCGTAATTACTCTACTCATGACCTGGAGCTAGTAGCAGTGGTGTTCACTTTGAATATTTAGCGATACTATATTTTCGGTAAGAAGTGTCACATCTTCACTGATCACAAGAGCCTTAAGTATATCAGAAAGAGTTGAACCTCAGACAATGTAGGTGCGTTGAGTTGCTGAAGAACTACGACTGTGTGATAGATTATCATATGGGAAAGGCAAATGTGGTGACAGACGCCTTGATCAGGAAATCAATACCATGTTGGGAGCTCTCCTAGCACGTTTGAGTTTATCTAGTGATGGTGGATTGCTAGCCGATTTAAGATTCAACCCAGAGTTGGTAGGAGAAGTGAAGAGGATGTAGAGTTCAGATTACTGGAGCTCAGATTGAATATGTTCGACAGGGCGAGGTCACAAGTTTTGGACTTAGTGATGGAGATGTGTTATATTTCCAAGGTCGGTTATGTGTACCCACAAATGCTCAGTTGCATAGTAAGATTCTCTATAAAGCGCATTGCAAACCACTTGTAGTGCACCCAGACAGTAAAAATATGTATCAGTAGCTTCACCGATTGTTCTATTAGTCGTGTATGAAAAAAGGATTGTCCAAGTTCATCGCTAAATGTCTAGTGTGTTAGAAGGTTAAGGCGAAACACCAGGTTTCATAAGGTTTGCTTCAGCCCATACAGATTCCTCAGTGGAAATAGGACAAGGTAACCATGGACTTTATTATTGGGTTACTGATGACTAGACAGAGACATGACATAGTTTGGGTCATAGTAGACCACCTAACCAAATCAACCAACTTCCTTCTAGTTAGGATGGACTACACCTTAGAGAGGTTAGCTCAGTTGTATTTCTATGAGATAGTGAGGTTGCAGGGTGTGTTGACCTCTATCCTATCAGATAGAGACCCTTGATTCACTTCTCGCTTTTAGAAAGCCCTCCATGAAACCTTAGGCACCAAACTACACTTCAATACAACCGTTCATCCTCATACAGATGGTCAATCAAAGTGAGTTATCCAGATTCTTGAGGATATGCTCAAGTGTACTATCATCTATCTAGAGGGTAGTTGGGAGGACCACTTGTTGTTAGTGGAGTCCTACAATAACAGTTTAAAGTTAAGTATTCAGATAACACTGTACGAGGCCTTGTATGGACGAAAGTGTAGGAATCTGCTTTATTAAACAAAGCTCAGTGAAGGTAAGATTGTAGGACCAGACTTGATCAAGGAGACAAAGGAGGAAGTTCGATTGATTCAAAGCTATCTTAAATAATATTCGGATAGACAGAGGTCTTACGCAGATTTGAAGCATAAGGAAATTGAGTTCACAGTTGGGATAAGGTGTTCCTCAAGGTTTCCCCTTAGAAGATGGTACTCCGCTTTGGGCGTAAAGGAAAGTTGACTCCATGCTTCATAGGACCTTATGAGGTACTTGAGAGAGCTGGACCAGTGGCTTATAGGCTAGCCTTACCACCAGAGTTGGAGCGCATCCATAATGTGTTCCATGTATTTATACTCAGGAGTTATCACTCTGATCATTCTCACGTCATACCCTTAGAGCATATTGAGGCCAACCTAGATATGACCTATACAAAGAAACCAGACAGAATCTTAGTAAGCAAAGTGAAAGAGCTAAGGAACAACAGAATCCCCTTAGTTAAGGTTCTATGGAGGAATCATGGAGTCGAAGAGGAAACTTAGGAAATCATGGAGGATATACAGTTTCAGTACCCTCACCTCTTCTATTAAGGTAAATTTCGAGGATTAAATTTTAAATTAGGAGGAGAGTGTTGTAACACCCCGGATTCCAGGTTAGGAGTTTCGTGCTAAATCGAGTTGGAGCTTAACTTAATTCACTAGTTCATAGGAAACTTTGACCTAAGATGATGTGGTTTTGGGTTGGTCTAGGCCCAATAGAGAGTAAATATTGGCAATTCCAGTTTGTAAATAAAACTAGAAGTACCAAGGAAGCAGTTATACCCTAGTTTAAAAATAAAGCTGAAAACCAATTAAAATGGGTGAGATCACGTCTGTAGTTTGTCCCCTTCTTCTTCATAAGCTTGTCTTTTTCTCTCATTCTTCAACTTATTTCTTCTTCCTCTCCCAAGATTAAAGGTAGAGGCTATATAATGTTTTGGACTCCAATCAGTATTCTAAGGTAAGAATCAAACTCAACACATCTAGAGCTTCCTTTTGAGATCACAAAATCAAAGTTTTGGCCATGGCTTTAGAAAATGGGTTTTGTAGGGGTTTAAAGAGCTTAGATGATTCAATTAATTTTTCAGTATTTTTTAGTCTATGGAGAGTATATAAACCCTTTTAGGTTATAAATTCAGTTAGTAATCATTGTTTTGCTTATTGATATAGAGAAAAGTTGGTGAAAGATCTAAAGTAAGGGGGAAGGAGAAACTCACGCTTGGTTAAGTTCTTGGGAGTTTTCAAAAGTTTTAAAATACAGGTAACTCACTTCTAACTCAGCTATACCATGTGTAGGTCATTTAGATGAAATGTGGTAGATTGCATGAGCTTGAAGCATTTTCATGCAAATGCATAATTTGGGTGTTCTAGCATGATTTTAGACCTATTTATGACCCCTGATATCAAATAAAACACTTAAATAGCATTTGGGGACCTCACTAGGGGTTTTAAGGTAGAAAGATGGGATCTTTCAAGCCAAAAAAGAGCTTTTCGTAGTAGGGTATTGATATTGTATGAACATTACCGATATTTTTTTCAGCCAAGCATAAATTAGGCTGTTATATAAGGGTAGCATAGATACTCATTCATTGGGTATCGATACTAGGGCAGGAGTATCGATACACCCTATAGGGGTATCGATTCTGGTATTTTTTAAAACAACGAACCAAAATTTGGTATCGATACTCATTTAAGTATCGATACCCTAGCACCTTAATATCAATACGCATATGAGGGTATCGATATTGTCTTGATCCAAAAGCCACATCATCCAAGGGTTATCAATATCAATAGGTGGGTATCAATACCAAAGGTTTAGTATCGATACTGAAGGGTCAGTATCGGTACCCACAAATAGAGTTGGATAAATAATCCAAGGATTTAGGAATGAGACCTGAGGTACCCCAAATACACTCTAATAATAACAAATAAGACTTCAGGCAAGAACAAAAATTAATAACATAACATTAAAAATAGTAACCGTTGGTTTACATAAAACTAGCCTTGTTTGATGCTCAGGAAATAGCCAGGACACCCGAGTTCCTTCTAGCAAAATACGATAGTCAATGGATCCAAGTCAGTACTATGCACTTCAGTGGCCAACTGGGCACAGATGCCCTAAGACTCGACAGAGTAAGTTGGCAGGTATACATTTCAGATACAGAATTTTAGATCTCACCACAAGTGTACCCGAGGGTACATCAGCAGTGTTAGTGGGGTGCACAAGCTCCAAGATGAAAAATCCCTCAGTCGCACCATGATGCCAGCCACATATTTGTAGTTCAGTAGTTTTATGCTCAGACCAGTTCCACCTACCATTTCATTTAGTGAATGCAAATAGTATAATACAATTATTAGCGAGGCACTGAGCTCGTAAGCTCAACGTTCAGAATATGTTTTCGTGCACAAGTTCTTAGGGGTAGTTCATGAGGAGTTATTTTCACTAGATATTCCAGTATGGCAGACCAGATTCTCAAAGACCTTCATAGTACTTCTTGAGTCATCTTTTGAGGGCATGTATTATATATGGACCCTTGTGTATATTCAGTTGTAACTCTGATTTGTATTTAGTACTATATTATTTTGAAATATGATTTGGGAGTTCTTTATCATTTTGTAAACCCATTTATCTTGTTTTATTTTGATTACTATGGATTGTTTATTTTTAGTGATTATAAAAGTTTAAAAAGAAATTTTTGGGTTACTATTTCGATGGTCCCGTGTAACATTGTAATCCATGGACCTTCGGATCAAACTGGATTAGGGTGTTACAAGTGAGGGATCAATGTAGGGACAAATAGAAAAAATATTATGGCAAGAGTTTATTAGAGCATAAAAAACAAATTTTTGCAAGCCAATAATCTCGGCAATAGATTCAAGTGAAATAGTATGGAAGATTGAAGAGTTCGAGAATGCTGACTTCCCACTCTTCTCTGCATCATTATCATTCATGAAAGCATGCACTTGCATCATTGACGTATTCGCATCAAACATTCATCATTCATAATTTTCTTCTTATGAGGATATTCTAAAATGTTTTTAAAATCATTTTTCTCCCATGAGAATATTTTCAAAATTGTCTTTCTCGAGACCATTTCCTCTTTCTAGAAGATATCTTTAAATTTTCAGAGAATCTCAACTTTCTTAAGATCATTTTTTCTCTCTTCGGAATACTTTAAATTTTTTCCAAAAATTTTACCTTCTTTATGATCATTTCACCTTAAACATAAATTTTGTCTTACATAAGACAAATTTCCCTTAAAACAGAAATTTATCTCACTCGATATAGCTTTCCTCAAGAACAAATTTAATCTCACTTGAGACAATTCTCTTGAAATAATTTTTTATCTCACTTGAGATAGTTTTCCTCGGAAACAATTTTCTTCTCACTCAAGACAATTTCCTTGAAACAAAAATTCACTTGAGATAGATTTCCTCAAAAAAAATTACATCTCGATTGGGATAGTTTCCCTTGAAACAAAAATTTTATCTTACTTGAGATAGTTTTCCTTAAAACAAAATTCGACTCACTCTAGATAGTTTTCTCTTGAAAAACAATTTCATTTCACTAGAAATATTTTCACTCGAGATAGTTTATCTTGAAACAAAAATCGCATCTCACTTGAGATATTTTTTTTTCCTTGAAAATTTTTGTCTCACTCGAGACAGTTTATCTCGAAACAAAATTTCATCTCACTTAGAATATTTTCGCTTGAAAATTTTTGTCTCACTCGAGACAGATTCACTGAAACAAAATTTCATCTCACTTGAGATATTTTCCCCTGAAATGTTTTGTCTCACTCGAGACAGATTCGGCCGAAGCAAAATTTCATCTCACTTGAGATATTTTCCCTTGAAAATTTGTCTCACCCAAGACAATTTCTATGGAAACAAAATTTTATCTCATTTGAGATATTTTCTCTTGAAACATTTAGTCTTATTCGAGATAATTTTTCGGCATGACTTAACTCGCGATAATTTTTCGGCATGACTTAACTCACAAAGGGGAGTCATCTAAAATTCAACTTAACTCGCAACGGAGTATTCGTCCACAACTTAGCTCAACTTGTAACGAAGAGCTAATTTTCTACAGTTTAGGCATGCCTAGGAGCATTGCATTCATGACATTACACACATGTGTATGATTTTGTAGATTTTCGAAGTTAATTTCAACTTTGTAACGGAGGATATTGGGTTTGAAAGCCAATTCAGAATCAAATCCAGTCTAGCTTAACTCAGCTGCGGTGAGCTAGTTTCCAGTTGAAACTTTCAAGGCCAAGTTTTAACTTCATAATGAAGGATACTTGACCAGAAGTGCATTCAGAACGGACTGTAATTTGGCTTAATTCAACATAGAGGAGCCATCTTATAGTCAAATCTTTTCGAAGTCAGATTTCAACTCCATGTTAGAGGATATCCGACTTAAAGAACGATCATCTATAATTTTGAGTCAGATGTCAGCTTCAAGGTAAAGGATATCGAGTTTGAAGAAAATTCAATTCAGTGGAAGTTTGATCCTATTCCTGAAGAAAATATAAACTTTTCAACATCAGAAGAGCAAGTTCCCCTTCGGAATCCATTTATTTTGAGAATCGAATGAAAATTTGTGCCTTTTTATTTGCCCTATTTTTGTTACACAAAAATTGATAAAGAGAGGCAGCTATTGACACCTATTTTCGTCCAGGATTATTTTGTGAATTCTCGAGGATATATATATATATTATTTGTTTTGAAAAATATATATAGTATATTTTTAAAATATATACGTTATATATTTTGAAAGATACATAATATATATATATATATATATATATTATAGTATTTTAAAATAAACATTATATATATATATATATATGTTTTGAAAATATATGTATTATTTTTTAAAAGTATATATATATTATAATTTTATTTATTATAAGGTATATTTTTAAAAACATATATATTATATATCGTATAATATATATAATATATATTTTTGAGAATATCGTACATAATATATATATATATATATATATTAGTTTTTGTTTTTATTTTATCTTTTTAGGTATTTTTCAGTTTAAGTGTTCATGTTTATGTTCAATAACACAAAAGGATTCCAGACCATAGTCCAAATCACAGTCCAAGAGCAAAGGTCCATAACAAGAGTCGTAAGCCTCATAGATCAGATCCAACAGCCCATAAATGCACCAAGAACACCAACTGGCCGGTGATCAGCGTGTGAAGGTCACGCGCCAACGAAATAACTCAAGAGTGATATTATGCACCGAATAGAGACAATTTCCAGAATCAAATCGGAACACACAAAGAAACAAATCTGCAGCAAAATAAAACCAAATCAATAAGTGGACTGACCATAAAACCCTGTTCAATAAGTGGAATGCATTAGTTGTATGCTCTCAGGTTGGGCAGTAAGGGTCGAATAAGGGCAATTACTCATTCTTAAAACCAGCATTCTTAAGACCAAACAGTCAGAGGGGGAAAGCTCTCCGTTTATTTTTCCTGTA